GCCACCCTTCTCCCATAGGACTCAGGGCGGCTTACAAAAACAAAACAAAGAATTACATAAACAATTAAAATCAATTTAAAATTAAATTAAAATCAATTAAAAATTATTAAAATTATTTGAAGTCACCCCTATGGATTCAGCCCATTTGGTAAAAAAGCCACATCTTCAATTCGTGGCAGAAAGAGAGGAGGTCCGGGGCTGTCCTGTGGCCGGTGGGCAGCCCATTCCAGAGGGTCGGCGCTCCCACAGAGAACGCTTTCCCACCGGGGGCCGCCAGCCAACATTGTCTGGCTGACGGCACCCTGAGGAGGCCCGCTCTATGTGAGCACTCCAGACAGTGGGAGGAAGGCAGGAGATGATCCTGCAGATACCCCGGGCCTAAGCCATGTAGGGCTTTATAGGTAAGCACCAGCACCTTGAAACGAACCCGGAGAGCCACCAGCAGCCAGTGCATCTCGCGCAGGAAAGGTGTCACACGGGAGTACCAAGAAGTCCCCATAACAACCTGTGCGGCCGCATTCTGGACTAACTGTAGTCTCCGGGTGCATCCCAAGGGAAGCCCCATGAAGAGGGCATTACAGTAGTCCAACCGAGACGTAACAAGGGCATAAGTGACCATGGCAAGGGCCTCCCAATCTAGGAAAGGGCACAACTGGCGCACAAGGTGTACCTGTGCGAAGGCCCCCCTGGTCACGGCCGTCAAATTTTTTTTTTTTTTTGCTTTAATTTATATGCCGCCTTTCTCCGGAGACTCAGGGCAGCTTACAATGCGTTGAGCAATAGCCTTCATACTTTTGTATATTTATACAAAGTCAGCTTATTGCCCCCACAATCTGGGTCCTCATTTCACCTACCTTTGAAAGGATGGAAGGCTGAGTCAACCTTGAGCCTGGTGAGATTTGAACTTGCAGTAATTGCAAGCAGCAGATGTTAATAACAGTGTTTTAGTCCACTGTACTACAGGCTCTTTCTTGGGATAGCCGTGAATCCAGGAGGACCCCCAGATTGTGGACCCTTTCTGAGGGAGTAAGGATCTCCCCTCCCATCACTAGTGACAGGGCCACTAGATCAAGAGATGCTGGTATCCACAGCCACTCAGTCTTGGATGGGTTGAGTCTGAGTCTGTTTCTTCCCATCCAGGCCCGCACCGCTTCCAGGCAGCGGGACATCACAGAAAGAGCATCCCCAGGGTGATCCGGGGTGGAGATGTAAAGCTGAGTGTCATCAGCATATTGATGGTACCTCACCCCGAAACCACAAATGATCTCACCCAGCGGCTTCATGTAGATGTTAAAGAGCAGAGGGGAGAGAACCGACCCCTGAGACAGCCCACAAGTGAGGGGCCTCTGGGTGGATCTCCCTCCCCCCATCCACACAAACTGCGAGCGGCCTGAGAGGTAGGAGAACCACCGTAAAACGGTGCCTGCCACCCCCAACCCCCCGAGTCGCTGCAGTAAGATACCTTGAGAGGTCAAGAAGGACCAGGATGGAGGAGCAACCCCCATCCCTGGCCCGCCAGAGATCATTTACTAGGGTGACCAATGCCATTTCCATGCTGTAACCGTGCCTGAAACCCGATTGGTACAGGTCTAGATAGTCAATTTCCTCCAGGAACTGTGGGAGCTGCTGTACCACCACAGACTCAACAACCTTCGCTATGAAGCAAAGGTTGGAGACTGGATGATAGTTATTAAGGGAGTCTGGATCCAGGGTGGGCTTCTTGAGGAGGGGACGAACCACCGCCTCTTTGAGTGTGGCGGGGAAGACCCCTTCCCTCAAAAAAGTGTTGACAACCGCTTGAATCCAGCTTCCAGTCACCTCCTTGGCTGCAGAAACGAGCCAGGAGAGACAAGGGTCCAATAAACATGTGGAGGCACCCAGTCGACCCATGATCCTGTCCACTTCATCCATCGAAACAGGCTCAAATTCAACCCAGATGTTACCATCAGGACAGGCCCCTGTCGACTCGTCAGACTCTGCCCAGTCAGAGTCCAACCCAGTCCGAATCTGAGTGATTTTATCTTGTAGAAACTGTACAAAATCCTCAGCTCTGCCCTGCAAGGGGTCCTCCCTCGCTCCATGATTTAGGAGAGAGCGGGTCACTCTAAACAGAGCTGCTGGGTGATTTTCAATTTAGGTGGAGAAATATAGAAATAAATGGGAAGATATAAAAATTGTGGAAAGGAAATTAGGTACATGTTTATGTCAAATGTAAATAAAATAATTAGAATAATAGAATATATTATAATGGTATATATATGATATATTAGAAATATATGTATAAAATATATTAAGATAAGAAAGAGAAAATGTATAAATATGGATTACTGATGTGAAGATATTGAAAAGAAGAAGATGTAAATATCTGTTTTTGTTTGTTTTTAAAAAAACCTGTTTAATAAAAATTTTCAAATTGAAAGTTGAACATCTTACACTTAAAAAGAGTTGATTTTGACTAACATAGAGAAAGCTTGGGAAGGAATCCATGGATGAAAATCTTAAAGGAGAAAACAACCCAAGAAGCTTGGGAAACACTAAAATATATAATTATAAAAGCCCAGTCCATCACAATAACAGAAATATAGGAAATCCAAGAAGAGGCCAGCATGGTTGCACAAAGTACTCTGATAAACAGAAAGACAAAAAGTGTAACTATAAAACATGGAACGAGAGATACATAACTGAGGCAGAATACCAGCATATAGCTCAAATCTGCAAAGATGAAGTCAAGAAAGCTAAGGCTCAAAGTGAACTAAGACTTGCAACAAATGTAAAAAATAATTTTTAAAAAGTTTCTTTCAACATATAAAAAACAAGAAAAAAGTGAAAGAAACAATCAGTACACTAATGGGGGACAATGACAAGGATGCTGCTTACTGCTTCTTAACATCTGCCATCATGCAAAAGGGGAAAAAATCTTATTTTTGAAGATTCAATCTTTTGAATATTATCATCTTCAAAAAAAGGGGAAAATGGACCCAGTAAACTACAAACCAATAAGCCTGACATCAATATCTAGGAAGATCCTGGAAAAGATCAAGCAACAGATCTGCCAACACCTAGAAGCAATTACAATTTATTACAGTTAACTGGTAACTATTTCTATTTGGACTTTGATCGGAAGACAGACTTATTCTGGAGACTGACTCTATTATATTTAATTAAGCAAACATGGATATTTGCTCCAGTATGAACTATTTATAACTTTTGGGATGACTTGGGATAGATAAGGTGTTATGGGAAATTTTCTACGAGTGGATTACAATAACAGTTTGTTAATAAAAAAATTTGAAACTTTAATTTTGTTATTATTATTCCTGTTAGCTACTTTGTCATTAAAATAACTTATAGAAGACAGGTCAACAATTTGTAAATAGATTTAGTAGATTAAAAATTTTGGGAAAGTCAGTTTGTAAGGGGAAGGTACTGGCCTGGCCTAAATCTTCTCCCCTTTTTAAATGTAAATTTTAATTTGTTTTTAAATTATGGGGTATTTTAAATTTGTTCAGCCAAATTATTTAATTCATTTTTATTCTATTTTAAGTTTTTGTATTTATGTGTTTTATCCTGTGGCTGTTCACCGCCCTGAGTCCTTCGGGAGTAGGGTGGTATAGAAATTTAAATAAATAAATAAATAAAATAATGTAGTAATCTATTACTCAGTATTCTAGAGGGGATGTTATGTGTATATGTGATGTGGGGTTGATCTTTTTCTTTTTTAATTGTTTTGTGTGTTTTTTCTTTTGGATACTTTTTTTTGAGTTCTGTGTTTTGTATTCTAATTTTGTTTTGAATAAATTAAAAATATATTTTCTACCCATGATGAGTGATTGCTTATGCATTGATTTCCCCATTCTCTCCTCTTCCAGAATCGCCCAGTTGATCTCATCCAGTTTGACTGGGATTCATCTCAATGAAAAAGTTTTGGTCCACTTCATAATTAGCACTGGTTTGGGGTTTGGGGGTCACATCCTATAGTTATATGGAATGCAACAACTCACCATGGCCAGCTTGCTGCAGGACAAATTCCCATGGCCAACACACCACAGGACAACTCGCTGCGGGACAATTCAACAACTCAATATAATTATTTAAAATAGTTGAAAAATATTTTAATTTTTGTCATTCACATTTCATTTTATCTCTCCTGTGGCATCCTTTCTTTAATGATTCTATTCCACTATTTCTTCGATATTAGTATAACTATTGTCCTGCTGCAAATTGTCCTGTGGTGAGTTGGCCATTGTGAGTTGGCTATGGTGAGATAGCCATGGCGAGTTGGCTGTGCGAGTTGTCGTAGAGCCATTGTCATATGCTATGGACAAGGAATGGAGCTTTCCAGATGGAAAAATGGGAGCAGTCATATTTATTCTGTACCTCAATGCTTCAGTTCAGATTATGAAGTATATCTTCATGTAAATAAAGACTGGTCCTTTGTCAAAGAACCAAAATAATAGATTTTGTTCTTACTGAGGTAAATAACAATAGGAACACAATGTACTATTTAACTGGAGCACAATATATATTCCTTAGGTTTCTTCTATTTTCAAATTCTTTCCATCATAACTCACCTAGTATAGGTGTTAGAAAATATTTCAGAACATATTTATCAGAACATAGAAAAATAGAGTTTGAAGGAACCTTGGAGGTCATTTAGTCCAACCCCTGTTTGAGTAGGAGACTTTATACCATTTCAGACAAATGGCTGTCCAATCTCTTCTTTAAAAGTCTCCAGTGATGGAGCACCCACAACTTCTGATTTTCTATTAATATATAATAAATAGAACATTAATGTTCTATTTCTCTAAGCTTCACTCTTTCACTAAAGAGTTATAATGAAGTATATTATAGTATAACATGTATAATCACCACTACTACCCTCAATTTTCTTTTTGTGGTAATCTTTTAAAAGTTTCTTAATGCTTTTTCTATATTAATATTGATTTGAAAAGAGAAGACACAACATGGTTAAGGCAGACATAATCAATGGTGGCACTTACCAAAAACAGTTCTGGCAGGAACAGATTCTTTATTAATCCAGAATGACACCTGGGAGAGGATCACAGTCATGATGCACGGAATATATGTCTGTATCATAAAATATCCCATTTTCCTTCGGAGATGGAAGTGTACTGTCATGACCACATATTCACCTAAAAAAAGCCAAAACAAAAAAACCCCAACACTTCACTCCATATATCTTAATAAAAGAAAACCCCATTAAAACAGTGAATCATGAAAAATCAGAAAAGAAAATCTCTAGTTCTTTCATATCATCCTAAAATCACAAGAAGCTAAAGTAAAATAGGTCACATCTTATATTGCAGCCTTTCTGGAAGCCTCAGCTTCACATTTCCTGTGAAGGAAATGAGGGATATAAAATAATCCAGGAATGGTAAAGTAAACCCAAGAAATGGTAACAGATCTTAAAACTAAGAACAAATATGAACCAATACTACCATTTGTTTTTCCTCAAGTCGGCCTTCCAAAAGATGGTGCCCTCCAAATGTTTTGAAATAAAATTCTCATGTAGGTCTATCTAATTACAATGGGCAATAGAGAGAAGGAAGGTCCTGGCCTATGTTGTTTAAGGATTCAGAAAGGTTGTTTAGGGCTTTAAAAGGCTGCTTGGGGAGTTGTAATTCTTCAGAAAGCTTGTCAGACCTGCCCCAATATGATCCCTTAGGAAAGAAAGACCATCAACTCCATTGGATTGAAGCAAAAGGTTATTTACTAAAAAGATATTGGCTGCAGTAAAGTCAGACTAGCTCTGGATTTCCCATGCTCAAAAGATACAGAAAGGGGACTTCCGGTTTGGTGAGACAGTCGGGGAATTAGCGGGCTCCGATGAGCTCCGTGAAAACCCCGGCTGATGAACCACTGCCGACCAGCTGTCTTCGGACCAGAACCATCCTGCAGGGACGGAGAAGAAAGAGAGGCACCTCGGACGACCAAGAGGAACAGGCAAGTTCCTCGGAGGTCAGAGGGAACTCTCTGTGAGTTGGCAGCGGGGGACAGCAGCCATGGCGGCTGCCACGAAGCTGGGACAACTGGACTAAGTACTAAGTATAGAGCTGGAGAGAGGAGAGGAATGGAACGGAGTCTTTTTGAAGCCAGGTGAGTGACAGCCAACCCAGGCTTGAAATAACAACAAGAGAAACATCTTACAATTGTAAGATCCCTAATGAGATAATAGCGGCTAAGGAGCATGGGGGCAAAGAAGATTTTGAAATGCAACTTTAAAGAGATAAAAACCCAATAGAAAATTGATTTCTGAATAAACTATTTGGGAATTTTAAACAATTAGATATGGTCAAAGGATTGAAAAGAAATAAAGAGACCCTTTTTTCCCCCCCTTTCTTTTTTAAATTGCAAGAAAAACAAAAGGAATGGATAACAAGCTTTAAAAAGAAAAATGATGCATAAATAAAAAGGGAAAAAAAGGAAAAAAGAAGTGAGAAGAGCTACTTAAATTTGGACTGGACTTTAAATATGACTTGATATTTTTAAACTGAAAAAGGAAAGAAGAAGCTAAGTAAGATCATGATGTAATTGAAACAAAATGGATACTTGTTAAGCAACTGGAATTGTGGATTGCAGAGAGACACCATCTGGAATAAAAAGGAACATTGCAACTTGGTTTTTTGTTTTGGAAAATTGTGAATTTCACAGATAACAACTGTGAGAATTTGTGGAAGAGGATTTTCTTGTCTACAAGCGGTTTGACTTTTGGAGGAATAAAAAAATAAAAAGAAGGGAACACAACGGAACTTTTATAATTGGAATAACATTAACCTAAAAAGAAAAAGGGTGTAGGAATCAGAGGAGGAATAAATTGATTTATTTGATTTGGAGAATGGAAATATGAGGAATAATGTTGCATACAGGACAAAAATTTGAGGACATAAAAGTTGAAATGGAGTATACACGAGTGGACAAGAAAATGAAGATGGAGAAATAAGACATAGAAGTGGAAAATAAAGAATATAAAGACATTGTGATTAAATATGAATAAATAACTGAATATGTGAATAGTAACAATAAAAAGGAGGTCTCTAGAGATTATATTGAGATTAACAATAACATGATGGTTATATTGAGATTAATAATAATATAATGATGATTATATTTGGATTAACAGTGAATGATAAAAGAATAAAAGGTGGAAAATATTAAGAGAAATAAAAAAGTCTAGGATTTGGATTTATAAAATGACTATATTGAGATCAACAAATGTGAGAAGAAATATGTTACAGATACTTAGAAATGAAATATGGATTGAAGCTAAAATGTATGGAAAATAGACTATGTTAAAAGAAAATATAGCAATAGACATAATGAATTAATTTTTTATTAAGATGTTAGAAGGTATTATTTGAGAAAATTGATGGCTATAATAATTGGGATATTATTTAAATACGTATAACAATTGTAATAATTTGAATATGTTTGAATAATATATTTACAAAAGTAAAAGATGATTATGCTGGGATTAACAGTAGAATGATAAAAGAAGGTTCCTAGAGATCACACTGGGATTAACAGTGAAAAAAATAAAGATGATTACACTGGGATTAACAGTAAGAAAAAAATAAAGATGATTACACTGGGATTAACAGTGAAATAAAGATGATTACACTGGGATTAACAGTGGAACAAAGATGATTACACTGGGATTAACAGTGGAAGGATAAAAGAAAAGATTAAATTAGATTATGTAAAAAGAAAATATATAAATGGACATAATGAATCAATTTTTATTAAGATATTGGAAGGTATTGTTTGAGAAAATCGATAGCTATAATAATTGGGATATTGTTCAAATATGTATAACAATTGTAATAATTTGAACATTTTTTACTTAAGCAAAAAAGAAAAGAAAATTGAAATAGCATTATTTGAATTAAGAACTATGTCTAAATATCAAATGTTAAATTGCTATATTTTTAAGATTAGAGATAAGATTTAAATTTGATAAATGTATTATGAGTTATTAACTGATTTAAGATTTTAGGTGGGTTAATAGAAGGGTAATTGTTTTGATTAAGTAAATATGAGTAAACTCTTTTTAAGATGGTATTAGTCGAATATGTGATTTAAGATTGAGAAATAAGTGTTATGGCAAAATAGAATATATAAAATTTTGTTAAAGATGACAAAAAATTGAACAAATTGATGACCAGATCAAAGCTCTGTTCCGAAAAGATGTAATTTGTATGATTGGAAAAAAAAAATTAAAAAACTTTTTGCAAAAAAAAAAAAAAAGATACAGAAAGGTTTCCCCTCATCCCAGTCTTACTCTATGACCTGCCATTCTTCAGCCAATCAGAATTTGCTGAAGTGTTCTGAAAACGCTGAGGTGTTTTTGGGGTAATTCACATTCTCTCAGGATGCGTGGCCTCGGATGCTGGTACAAACTGGTTCTGAGCTTGTCTGATCTTTATCACCTGTCTTTCCCCCCTCCCTATTTCCCATCATGTATACATAAAGCTTTATTGTCCATCCTCCTCCTCCTTCTAGCCTTTGATGGCAGGATGCCTATGAGGCGCCAAGCTGAGCCTGGCAGTCCTGACATTCTGCCCCCCTTGACAGAGATGTTAATCCTGTAAAGGAAAAAAAAGAGGGGAGGGAGAGATAAACAGAAATTCTCTAATTAGCAGATACTTCAATGAGGTTTATCTGGGTACTGTTTATGGAATATTTTAAAGTACTCTGGAGGCTTTAAAATGTTGGGAATCAACCCATTCAGTCTCTGAGGGAGGGAAGTCTTTCCATGCTATTAAGTACTGGGTTTCCCCCCAATGTATACAGGAGTCCAAAATGTCTTTGACTTCAAACCAGTGGTGGGTTGCTACTGGTTCGCGAGGACCGGTAGCGGTAATTTGGGCTAGGTCGTGGAATCGGTAGTGATCGCTGGCTGGCCACGCCCCCAAACCGGTTCCCACTCGCTGGCCCTGGCCACCTGACATTCACTCGCCCCGCCCCCTCCACCCAGTCACTCCTCACTTCTACTGCATGGGTCCTCACTTGCAGCTTGCCTGCCTGAAGCACTGCACCCCAACTGAGCAGCCCTGATCTGCCTACCTCCCCTACTCCCTTCCCTGTGTCCCGTAACCCTGCCATGCTTCCCTGCCTTCCATGCTGCCTTCCTGGCATCCTGGTGGCCAGCTTGCGAAGGCAGGCAAGCGGAAGGCCACGTGGAAGGCAGGCAAGCATGGCAGGGCTGCTGGGAAGGGAGCTAGCAGCCTACTTCCTTCCCTGGAGCTCTGCCATGCTTGCCTGTCTTCCATGCTGCCTTCCCAGTGGTCCCTCATGCCCCCTTGCCTTCCAAGGTTGGTGTCCAGCCTGGCCTGGCCAGTGGGTGAGCGGATGGCCCTTGGTGGAGATGCCACCACTGTACTGCCCCAGGACACGTGCAGCAGCCCTGGGGCTGGGACATCCGCCTGTCCTCACAGAGCACCACTGTGGCAGCAGCGCCCCTCTCAGCCTTTCCAATGCACTGGCTCCGATGGGCATGCTGAATACACCAGCAGAGGATCTAGAAGGTAAGGCCGACGCTGGGGGAGGGAGGGAGACCCATTGTGCTCAGCTCCTCACAGGGACATGGTGAGGCTCGCTTGCCTTTTGTGCCTGGCATGCTCAGCTTCTGCAGGGCCTTTAGCCAACTGCTGCCCGCTTGCCTTTCCCTCTGCCTCGGGTCCTGCCTGCCCTCCTGGAGCACCACCGTGCTGCTGCCGCTCGCTTTCTTCCTTCTCCTGCCACGAAACAAAAGCAAACGGCAACAGGGTTGCTTTGGGAGGTTGCGTTGGGAAGGTGGATGTCTGCAGCCAGGTGGGGAGGGAGGGTGTCAGGCAAGGGAGCACCAAGATGAAGGGCTACCTACACTAGCCTGCCTGGGTAAGCGCCGCCGCCCAGGCCAAACAGAAAGCGCTGCGGGCTTTGCGGTGGCAAAGTAATTATATATTTGAAAAAGTAATGGAAAGAAATGAATGATTGTAATGTTATACATTTAAATGACTTTGAGTAAGATATTTGATTGTAATATTGACAAAGAAAAATATTTGTGATTGGAATAAGGGAATTTAGGGAAATACTGGAAATTATATTATTTTGGGAAAAGGTTGCAATGGGGAAATATTTGAATAGGATGATT